AGGATGGTGGTAGTAAATGCTGTGTATCTACAGGATTAGTTCTGACATTAAGCTCTACTGCCAATATGAATCACCCATCACTTGAAGGAGAGGGAGAGAGAGAGAGAGAGAGAGAGAGAGAGAGAGAGAGAGAGAGAGAGAGAGAGAGAGAGAGAGAGAGAGAGAGAGAGAGAGAGAGAGAGAGTTAAGGAAAATAAGAGTGAGAGACGAGGGAAAGTTTGTAAGAAAGCGTTATGAAAGGAGGTAGAGGTGAGAGATAGTATTAAAAGAAAGGAAAAGGAAAGGATGGAGCTGTGAAGTGAAGGGTGGGTGAGGAGGGGAAAGGTGGGTGAGTGGGGAGGGTGAGGAGGGAAGGGGTGAGGGGGAGGGGGGGAGAAAAGTGGGTGAGGGGAAGGGAGGGTGACTAAGGGAAAAGTGGGTAGGGAAGGAGGGAGGAAGGAAGGGTGGGGTGAGGGGAAAAGATGAGGTGGAAGGGATGAGGGAGAAGGATGAGGGGGGAGGGGGTAAGGGAGAAGAATTGGTAAGGGGAAGGGTGGGTGAGGAGGGAAGGGTGGATGAGTGGGGAGGGGGTGTGGGAGAAGAGTGGGTGAGGGGGAAGTTGTGGATGAGGGGGAAGTTGTGGATGAGGGGGTAAAGGGTGAGGGATGATGGGGGTGAAGTAGAAGAGTAAGTAAGGGGGAAGGGTGGGTGAGGGGGAAGAGGGTGGATAAGGGAGTTACTTTACATTAGAGTAAGAAGTTAATGTAAGGGAGGGGCTCAAACCCTTACTTTACAGAAACAAGAGTAACTCACTAACAGATAACTAAGAAGTAAGCCGGATGTGAACAGACCAACTAATGCAGTGTTGTACTCTGATCTCTATATTAGCGATGATGAACTACACATTGAGGCACAGCGGGGCATAATATTAAATAATGTTCATCAGGGTTTTTCATTACATTTATCAATAATATTATTAACATTTTCAGTATTATTTTTGTAATTATGCTAATTATTATTATTATTATTATTATTATTATTATTATGTTGAGAGAAGATGGAAACAAAGGTTGAGTCCTTGCCTTCATTAACCAGGGTTACTGCACGTATTTTACACCATTAACATAACAATAAGCGCGTGGATAATTGATACAGCGAAGCTTCCTTATAATAGGTGAGTTATATATTGTAAAATAAAGTGTTACTGCTGAAGCGCACCTTAAGTCATCTACATTTACATATTAATTCAATAAATGTTTGGTGTATATAAATCCTTTTGTCCAAATACGTATAACTTAAGGAACTATTAAATACATAGATCACACCATGATTATATATATATATATATATATATATATATATATATATATATATATATATATATATATATATATATATATATATATATATATATATATATATATATATATATATATATATATATATATATATATATATATATATATATATATATATATATATATATATATATATATATATATATATATATATATGGTCAATAATTACACTCTTACCTCTAATGAACACTCAGGGCAATGATCATTGAAAACGTGATTTCATAGACTTCTAAAAACTATCAGTAATGAACATATTAACATGGTGACACACAGACGTCTATATTTATCTATATAACCAGACATTTATATGCATATATACATAAGGACATCTTTATACTGTGTGCATATATATATATATATATATATATATATATATATATATATATATATATATATATATATATATATATATATACACTTCATATACTGTAGATCCACAACGAAAACGTGGATAAGATAAATCTTGATAAAATCACACAGTTGCCTCCGAAGATGTCTTGAATAAAGACGAAAGCTAAGGTGCTCCATTGTTTCCCTTTTTTCCAGTGTGATTGATTTTATCAAGATATATATATATATATATATATATATATATATATATATATATATATATATAATATATAAATATACATATATATATATATATATATATATATATATATATATATATATATATATATATATATATATATATATATATATATATATATATATATATATATATATATATATATATATATATATATATATATAAATATATATACATACATACATACATACATACAAAGTTTACGAGATACAATAATCAAGTTAGTTGATAAATTAATCTACAGTACTTGATACACTAAACACCGACACATCACAAAGCATTTCACGAAGTATTTATAAAGCAATAATAACAACAACAGCATTATATTCCACGAACTGAATTTAATTAATAATACATAAATTATTTTAATTGCAACAATATATATATATATATATATATATATATATATATATATATATATATATATATATATATATATATATATATATATATATATATATATAATAACTGTGTCTCTATTTTGTTGCATTGAGATTGTGGGAGGTTACTTTGTATTTAAAAAAAAATTAATACTTACCTAGCCGACCCATGACCCATAGTAAAAATCACCTAGTCGACCCATGACCCTTGGTAAATACTCACCTAATTAACCCATGTGCCATAATAATACTCCCCTCATTAACCCATGACACATAATAATACTCACCTCTATAGTCGACCCATGACCCAGAGTAATACTCACCTAGTCGACCCATGACCCATACTAATACTCACCTGATGGACAGTTCACCTTTATATCTACCAAACTTCTAATCCTTTCTCAATTATTACTTAAATCTCAAGTTGTTTCATGTATTATGTATAAGTATACTCAACTATACATTTATATACGTAACAATCATCATTAAAAAACCTGTATCTTTTATTATAATTTTATTAATAGTTTTCATTTGTTTAATATTATTTCACTTAAGTCGATTATTATGTCTGGTTTCGCGTCTATTAATACCAAAATTATCCACCCTCTAATATTTTGTCTCGATGCTAAAAAATATTGATGGGAGGGTTATACTCGCTACGTGTGTGTGTGTGTGTGTGTACGTTTTTGTTTCATCAATTTGTTTTCTCTTACTTCCTATTCTTGCTTTATTCTACTCTTCCCTCCCATACTTCCAGCTCCGTCACCTTTCCCATTGTAAGAATATCAAAGAAGAAAGATAATGATTTATTCTCCTCTTTATTCTCCTCCTCTATTCCTCTATCTTACATCAGTTTTTTTTTTTAGTCTTTTCAGAATTGATGCAAAACACAATCAAGTCTTTTTTTTATAATATTAAGGAGTCATTATGCCTCGAGTAATGTATGTACTGTGTGTAATGTAAATTTGTCAAGTTAAAAAAATAATCCCTTTTTTATGTGATTTTTAATTCAAGGCTCTAAAGTTGCTGGGAAAGTAGCGGCGGTTTCAGGCGGGGGAAGGGTGGGGGGAGTGTGGGTGGGATGTGTGGGGAAACGGGGGGACGTGGGGGAAGATTTGGGTGGTGGTGGGGGGGCAGATAGGATGAAACCGGAAGGGGGAGGGGGAGGGGGAGGGGTGAAGCGGCGTAAGGGTGTATAGGAAAGACTTACATCAAAGACCTTTTAAATCAGGTAACTGTGTATAAATTATGTCATTGGCTCTACATTTACGAACTGATCAACTTATCTTATTCAGGGGTGAGAGAGAGAGACAAGCGCAATAGTAATGACTATAGAATGGCGGAACTATTTATACAATGTCTTTTAACAAACTATTTAATTACTTTCTTGACTAAATCTCCACATACCTCTGACACCTTTGCCAACCATTACAATTCCCCCCCACACACACACACATACACACTGATATCTTTGCTGGTTGTTAAATGAGATGCATAACTACACTGACAAATTCACGTTCAGATTTGCTATTTTTCGATTCAAGATTCAAGAGAGAAAAATCTGGCGGTCAATTTGTCAATGAGAAGGAGCTACCACACTACCAGCCAACAACCAATCAATGTTTACAAATTGCGAATGCTGTTGAGGACGCCAGAAGTAGGTAGAACTTAATCAACGAGTCAGTCACTTACAGGAGGAGGGGCGGTTACATATGAGCTCTGAAGATATGACCAAGTAAACACATCTAGTAATTTCTTCATAACTATCTACAAATGTCTTTTTTTTATAGCTTTATGTTGCCTTTTAAGTAACTGTATGTAACTTCATAAATGGTTAATTAAAGACTGCTGTGACAGACGCTATTGTCAGTCTGGATATACTGGATGGTTTGACGATACCGATACATTTGGTATTGTTGTAGAGTCTAAAATTCGCAGGAGAGTATTATGAATCTATTGTAGTACTGTTCATCTATCGTACAGTACTATTGTTCATCTATCATAAAATATTCATACGCTAAAAAATACTTGAATTGGTTCTACTGCACCAGAGGGAAATATATTGAAGCAGCTTTCTTAAATACAGCGATAAATCAGCCCCCCCAAAAAAATCTCTCATAATATTTCCCCGGTAGATAAAAATGTCCATCGTAGGACTTGAAGAACTTTTGCGACTATATTCAATATATCACATGCATTGATCAGAGCTATAGTACTTTATTATATATTGCGTTATGTATATATTAATCACAAGCAAATTTGAAATGATGAAATTTTCTTGTATAATGCCATTTGAAAATCATTGCTGAATTTTTTTATGTAAAGTCGGGGACAAAAGTTCGCTCCCCGTGGTGAAACTAAATCACGGAATGAGTCTCCGAACTGACTTATGCTGACTGTTTCATCTCATTTGGGGTCGATGCTGCTTCATTTTGGACAGGAGCGAACTTTTGACCTCGACTATACAATGATACTTATGACCAATACAGTATTACTATTATCATTATCATTATCATTATTACTATAACTACTATCATTATAAGAGTTAACTATGTACAAGCACCATCAGCTGGGCTTTGGCTCTCTCTGACTAGAACACACCCACGTACTACCTTGAAATCGAAATTGCTGTTTGGTGAGACAAAAAAAGAATTAATACAGAGAAAAATCATTCGGAAACATATAAATATTAGCTTGGTTGCACTTGTTTACTAACGCATGGAGACAAATTACAGGAGAGTCTTTCAGAAATACATAAAATATCTCCTCCTAAGACGTGTTTGGTGATACATGAAGTTAATTTACATTAGAAAGTCAATCGAAAATTCCTTACAAGAGGATTTCAAAAGATACATAAATGGATACTGAAGGTTCATAATCTTGGGTTTTATAATACAGGGAAAATGCTGTCAATAGACTCGCTTGATACATAAAGTTTGGCTTCATTGTTCTAGTTTTGCTTGTGCATTATAAATAATACCTACATAAATGAACACACATTGATAAAAAAATACTAAATAACTCTTACTTCATGATACATAAACACTGTCCTTGTAAGAATCGGTACGTGAGACAAAAAACATTGATCTTAATGGCTCAAAATAAATTAAAGCCAAAAAATAATCTCCAAAAGGATATGCAATAATAATATTTTGAAGTTACATTAAAAAAATTCACATCATCAGAAACGTTTGATTATACATATAAAATATATCCATATATATGTATACTTTGATATATGAAAATTGGTTTTCATTAAAGTCGCCTGGAAATCAAAATAATCCCATGCAGAATTTAATATCTCCTTAAACGGTACAAAAATACATGCAAAACTGTATTCTTACGAGTGTTCTTGTGTGACATAAAAAGATTGCTTTCCTTGCAGTTGTCTGGAAAATATAGTAATCCAGACATGATTCGTTACAAAATGCATAGGAAAATTGGCCTTTTAAGATTCACTTCGTAATACAAATGATTTAATGTCATTACGATTCACTTGAAAAAAATATCACTTAAATATATGTAGACCTGAGACATAACAAGCGTTTGAATATACATAAAATCACATAATTAACATTTAGTGATATGTAGGAACTGAATTTATAAGTTGTTAGGAGACACATAAATTACATCTTGACTTGTTTAGTGATACATTACAGTTGAATTCATAAATAGTTTCGTAAATCACAAAAATACATAATTTTTCTTGTAAATACATAAGATCCGAAATTATAAATATTCAGATGATACATTGAAATACAGAAAAATATTCAGTGATACATAATAATTTGTATTATAGTTTTTTATGATAATCAGATATAGACAAAAATCATTAAATAAATTGTATATATTAGCTTGTTGAAGGTCTCTGATGACTCATAAACAATATAACAAATATTTATTGATGCACAGAAATACATAAATATTACTCAATGATACATAAACTATATGTTACTCTATAATACGCATAAAAACTACAAAAAAAGCGTTTGGTTATACATAAGAATTGTCTCATTTAGCGTTTCAAATATTCATAAGAAAATCCTAAACAAAAAATAATACTCATACATATAACTTGATGAGTGTTTTGGAAATACATAAATATTCATACATAATGATTGGTGATATTATAAAATCAGATTACATAAAAGGGATTCGAACAAAAGTATCAATTGGTGACACATAAGCCTAAGCTTCACAGGGGACAGTTGGTGGTACATACAAATGCCTCATTCACAAAAATTCCTTAAAATGCCACTGGATATATAAAAAATAATAATACTGGGAAATACACTGAAACCTGACTTTTATCATTAGGAAGCATTTGACAATAAACAGATTTGGATTCTAAGCATCACCTGTTGATTCATTCCAGTACAAATAATAAGAAGAAAGAACTCTGAAGCGTTTCATTAATAGCAACTCGAACATACGGTGAACCTTTTGAACCTTTGATTAGCACAATAATTTTCGTGTATTTGAATCTTAAGCTTTATTTCCCTAGCGGTATGTAAACAGTTAAGGTTCAAACTAATCATCTCTATATAATTCAATCTTGAAGTTTCAATTAACAAAAGAAGTCACAATTAATTCTATTTTCATCTAAACTACGATTCTTGTAAGAAAAGTTTACACATAGCTTACACCTAGGGAGCTCCATTTCTGGGTTCATATCTGGGATTCACACCAGCCAGGATGCTCTTTCCGAGACATGGTGTGTGTGTGTGTGTGTGTGTGTGTGTGTGTGTGTGTGTGTGTGTGTGTGTGTGTGTGTGTGTATGTGTGAAAATCATTGAATGTGAATAAAAAAAATCATGTGTGTTTGAATATATCATCCCAAGACACCTATATGTGTCTATATATATTTAGAGGTCAGTTCAGGAGTTTAAAAAATTGGCAAGACTTGGATTTTTGGTGTTCCATATATACATCATAGACGCACTTCACACACACACACACACACAGGTATCCCCAAAAGAGTATCGCGGTGACCTTTAACTCCAGACATGACACCTCTAAATAGGAAAATTGGTATGTATATTTTAATTAAGGTCTCTAGTAGCCAAAAATGTCCCCATATTTACACTTACGTAGTTATATTTGTATTAGTAAATAGCTAGGTACATGGGACTAGAAAATTTTTCGCTTACTAGTGAATTATAGCGATAAATAGGTTGACCAAAGTAATAGTATAGTTTTCAGGTGACGGGAAATGTCAAGTAAAAATATTGATAAACATGATGCAAGAAACGATACAAGTTTAATATCAAAATAAATGGGATTTTGTTGAATCTATAGAGTTTGTTGTCTAGTTGGGAAAATATTCTAGAAATATGATTCACTGAAATTATACTCTAGTACTGAATGTCCAGATATAGTTAAGTACTATTTATATGTTTTGTTTTGTAATTCAAAGAGCAATAATTAGAGTGCTATCTCCTACAGTAAGACAAAATTCTAGTTTTAATAAATCGAGAAAAGATTCTTTTAAAAATTATCAATCTACTTTATTCACCGATTGATGCTATATACAAGTAGTTAAGTTTCCAGTTAAAAGCTTTTGGTTAGTTAATGAAAGCATTTATTACCACAGCGGTGCAGGTGAGAATTGTGTTCAAGTAATTGCTTTGTGGTAAATGTATCAGTAGTTTTGTAAGCAATGTTCCAGTATTGTTTTTGTGAGGCTAAAATTTCAAGCAGTAAATTATTCGTAAGTTAGTATTATTTCCATATTTTGAGGGAAGAAATTTATATACCCAGTACTTTGTGTTTACAAAAGCTTATGACATAAAAGTAGCAAGTCATTAGCTACTTTCGTGTTTACAGTGTTGTTTATCTTAGGTCAAAGTTTAAACAGTCTAGTTGTGGAAAAATTCCTTCACAAATATACTATTTTATTGTCTGAGGTAACACTGATCACCATGCACTGATCAACATTCTGGTCGACACTCATCAACAAAACATTGCTCAAAATTCTTGCTAAGACTCACCAACACACTGATCAACATTCCAGTCAACACATATCAATAAACACTGATCTATATTCTTGCTAACACTGATCAAGAAATACTACAGCAGCACAGTGATCCAGGCAACATTAGCACACTCACTGATTTGACTTGACTGATCGACAGGAACATGTTTACTTACTGAATGACATTAATATTATCATGGAACGGCCGCCTACAGCATGTGACACAGTCTACACACAAGTACAACACACACACACACACACACACACACACACACACACACACACACACACACTCAAATACACACACTTACATTATCCTACACGTTTATAACTTACATCGGATCACAATACTACCGGAAAATATCCCACGTACCACTGAGGGATTCGAAATTCTTCCACAGACAAGACTAGACCACAGGACGACCACTAAAGGGTTGTCTGCCGCCACGGAGTCTAAGAGAAGGACACTGAAAGATACTCCTACTTTTGCTATTTTCCACTGAAGAAGTCTAAGGCCATAGTGACACTGGACTATAGGACTTTACAGTAATCGCCTCATATCCTACAAGTGACAAATAGTCCTACAGAAGGACATTGGACAGTAGGACTTCTTATTAATTATTTTCTACGCCATAAGTGACAAGAGTCCTACACAAGGATATTGGACAATAGGACTATATACTATAGTAACTGTCTTTCATAGTACCGAAGGAGATGAAAATCCTACCTAGTAATATTAGATAACAGGCCTTGCTAGTGCCTCTCTTTTTTACAACTGGTGACACGAGTCCTACACAATGACACTGGACAGAAGGACTTACTTGCGACTCTCTTCTACATGAGACAAGGTCCTACAAATCGACATTGGCTTCAGGATTTACTAGCAAATGTGATTTATTCCATTATAGGACTCAAAATTTAATAGCACAAAGGACATCATGACGACCAGTAAAAGTGTCCTACATGACACTGAAGGAGTTAAAAGTCCTACGGTCCTGAAGACTCTACCATTACATCCCTCATAGAAAGTGTTTATTTATTGTACTGCTTTTAAACAATATCACATGACTATTGTTTGTAAACATTACTGTGGTTGTTTCTAAGAGGTGAATTCCTGTATAAACATACTAGTTCCTCCTGTACACATACGTCTATAAATGACTTTGATACGTAGAAACAGACAGCCGAAGCCTTAAGTGAATACAGTTATCTTGAGCCACATATATAAGTGAACACAGACAGCGGGAGTCATATATCTAAGTGAATACAGACAGGTGAAGTCACATATTTAAGTAGACATCTGAAGTCACAAAATCTAAGTGAACACAGACAGCTGAAATCATATCTCTCAACAGGACAGACAATATCTACGTTCAAAATTTCACCTCTTCAGTAGACAAACGTTTTCAGTGGGACAGATTACTATTATTTTTTTTTGGGGGGGGAACAATTCTGAAACGTTAGTGTCCTCGTAGACGCCTTACCCTAGATGTGCTAAAGTTACGTTACGGGTCTTGTCTTTGGTTGATGTGATCCATACGAGGTACTTAGTGGTTTTGGTTCATCGGAAGTCTCCAACATCTCATATGGATTACCTGGAGGATAATTCTAATTTAGAGCAACTTAGAAAAAAATATCCTTTATTTTTACTCTTAAAGCATCTGAATTCACTCATAGAGGGTTATAAGAGGAACACTCACGGCATAACAGTCACAATAGGTAGAACTGAAGCTTAAGTTGGATTTCATAATAGAATTAAAGGCATTTGCACTTTTTTGCCGGGGGACTTGCCGTCGATGGATGGTTAGTTTACCTGGTTGTTAAATTCTCATTAGACCCTCAGTCACACATCCACCTACACAGGAACAACGCCAGGGACACACAGTCATACACAACGCGATATTATACATAAGCAAATTGTTTAACAGTGCTGACTGACGATCAACATTCATAAATCTCTTTCTTTTCTAACGTGTTAATTTTCATCGAGTCAATTTTCACAAAACTATTTTGCTTTTAATACAAACTTGACTGTAAACAGAAAATAACACGTTATAACTGAGTCAGAGAGAAACTCTTCTGTAAACTTAATGTCTATTTTGGTAACACTTGATCATAACAAACATAGGACATTTTTTTTAGCACTGATTGAGACTATGTCTTGCTGTTATCTTCAGGAGTCTCTGTTACTGTTGGTCTCTGGACGTTCTTTACAGGTCACTGATGTCGATCTGAATTTCATACTCTTAAAGACAAACACTACAGTGTATCTTATTTCCCTCTAACACACGACACTAAGGGGAACTAGGAAGCCCTCTGTAAACACCGACATTTTATTTAGTTTCAAGTACTGATAAAACGTCATCAATAGTTTGGGTAATACTGTATGGCATGACGTCAAACTTTGTCAGGTTCTTACAGGTAAGATGACAAGATTTATTGTCTGTCGGCCTATCGGCAAATTGCCCGGAGACATAACACATTATTGGCTTTGTTAGACAGGACCTGGTAGGACGCCAACTCGTCTCACGCTACAGTAAATAGCAAGAGAATGGTTAGTGTCAATGTCTGTCTCCTATGAGATTAATGTTTGTCATTCGCCTCTGTGTACATTTTAACAATAATCTATCAAACACCTTCCTGATAAGCTTCTGAAGGTGTGCTGAAATTCTCTATGCCACTCGCCATTTATCCAGGTATATCAGGACACCTATGACCCTTCACAGGAGTCTGAAATGTCCTTAATGACTCCAGGTAGCTGTCCAGCAGTCATATACCTTACTGTTTATGATCAGCTTTTGATGATGTGCTCGAGTTATTTTCAGCTTTCAGTCTGTTGAGGAACATGTAGACACTAGTGGCTCTGGGAAGTTTTCAGTATCCTTGAAGATTTAGGACCACGTATCCTTCAATAATCAGACATCTATCTGTCAAACTTTTGAAGATTGTGTACTGTTGTTATTTCTTGTCACTCGCCCTCTGCCAAATAAATTAGGACACTTACGGCCTCCCTGGGTAGTCTGCGGTGTCCTTGAAGACCCAGGTGGTGGTGGAGGCCGCCTGGGATGAGGCAGAGGGCGAGGACCTGGCTCAGAGCTCCCGCAGAAGCTCTGGAGGCTGGCGCGGAGGCTTCTTGAGCACGGAATACTGTGACCCCCACTCCAGCTCTTCAGCCGGACCACAGATCTTGTAGGCGCAACAAGCCACAACACATAGTGCCATTAACGCTCCTAGACACATGGCTGTCAACTGCATGGCCAGCACGATGTCTGCGGTAGACACCATAAGTTAGTAAACATAACAAACTATCTCCCTAAAAAGAAAATATATTATCATTGTTATTGTTCCCTCAAAAAAAAAAAAATCAGACCAGCCTCAAAGAAAGATCTGGATTCGAGCAGTGAACCTCACCAAGATAAAAAGGGAATGAAGAAAAGAACGAAAAAGATGAAAGAAAGTAAAGATATAAGGAAGAAGAAAAAGAGGACATGAAGGAGGAGAAATAAAAAAAAGAGGAAGAAAAGTATAAGGGGAGGATTTAGAAGAAAAGAAGAGAAAGAAGAAGCATTCGAGGGTAAAAAAGAAGAGATGGGGGAAGAGAGCAGTCAATATCCTAATTGGACCCTCTTGACTGAATATTCTCCCTCAGTAAATATTAACTAAACTCCTCACAGCTGCCGTACTAGACCATCAACTTCAATAATTATGAAACTCCAGTAAAACACAAATAAATTCTCTCTCTAACAGTCCCGTAATTAATGAATGTTTTCACCTTACTATAAACCTCAACTACCTGTGTTATACCTGAATGAGAAGATGCGTAGTAAATAAATTAAATAAAACAGTTGTATTCAGGAAAACTTAATATTATTATATTTATGATTTAAAACCAATCCTCTTTAACATCACCTCCCAGCCCCTGACTCATCTCTCAGCTTCTGATTCACCTCCCAGCCCCTGACTCACCTACCAGCCCCTGACTCACCTCCCAGCCCCTGACTCACATCTCCGCCTCTGACTCATCTCTCAGCCTCTGACTCACCTCCCAGCCTCTGATTCACCTCCCAGCCCCTGACTCACATCTCAGCCTCTGGATTCACCTCAGCCTCCTGTGGTTCACCTCCCAGCCCCTGAGCTCACATCTCACCTCCTGGCTCACCTCCCAGCCTCTGATTCACCTTCCAGCCCCCTGACTCACATCTCAGCCTCTGACTCACTTCCCAGCCTCTGATTCACATCTCAGCCTCAGCTCACCTCCCAGCCTCAAGCTCACACTCTGGCCCCCAGCTCATCTCAGTCTCTGACTCCACCTCCCAGCCTCTGGTTCTGCTTCAGCCCCTGACTCACATCTCAGCCTCTGAGCTCACTTCAGCCTCTGATTCACATCTCAGCCTCCCAGCTCACCTCCCAGCCTCAGCTCACCTCAGCCTGACTCCACATCTCAGCCTCTGAGCTCACCTCCCAGCCTCTGATTCACCTTCCTTCAGCTCATCCCTCAGCCTCAGCTCACTTCCCAGCCTCTGATTCACATCTCAGCCTCTGACTCACCTCCCAGCCTCTGACTCACCTCCCAGCCTCCCAGCTCACCTCCCAGCCTCTGATTCACATTCCAGCCCCCAGCTCACCATCTCAGCCTCCCAGCTCACTTCCCAGCCTCTCGATTCCTCAGCACCTGACTCACATCTCAGCCTCTGACTCACCTCAGCCTCCTGACTCACCTCCCAGCCCCTGACTCACGTCTCAGCCTCCCCAGCTCACACTCCCAGCCTCCCAGCTCACCTCCCAGCCCCTGACCCCACATCTCAGCCTCTGAGCTCACCTCCCAGCCTCCTGATTCACCTTCCAGCCCCTGACTAACATCTCAGCCTCTGACTCACTTCCCAGCCTCTGATTCACATCTCAGCCTCACCAGCTCACCTCCCAGCCTCCTGACTCCTCCCCAGCCCCAGCTCACATCTCCAGCCCCTCCTGACTCCTCCCAGCCTCTGATTCACCTTCCAGCCCCTGACTCACATCAGCCTCCTGACTCACTTCCAGCCTCTGATTCCTTCTCAGCCTCTAGCTCACTTCCCAGCCTCTGATTCACCTCCCAGCCCCTGACTCGCTCTCCGCCTCTGACTCACCTCCCAGCCTCCCAGCTCACCTCCCAGCCTCCTGACTCACTTCTCAGCCTCTGATTCACCTCCCGCCTCTGATTCACCTCCCAGCCCCTGACTCACATCTCAGCCTCTGACTCACCTCCCGGCCTCCTGATTCCTCCCAGCTGACTCATCTCAGCCTCTGACTCACATCTCAGCCTCTGGCTCACCTTCCAGCCTCTGATTCACCTTCCAGCCTCTGATTCCTCCCGGCCCCTGATCACCTCCTAGCACCTGATTCACCCCCCTCCCCAGCCTCTGACTCACTTCTCAGCCTCTGATTCACCTCCCAGCCTCTGATTCACCTCCCAGCCCCTGAGCTCATCTCAGCCTCAGCTCCACCTCCCAGCCTCTGGCTCATCTCCCAGCCTCTGATTCACCTCAGCCTCTGGTCACTTCTCAGCCTCTGACTCACATCTCAGCCTCCTGACTCACCTCCCAGCCTCTGACTCATCCTCCCAGCCTCCTGATTCACCTCCCAGCCTCCCAGCTCACCTCCAGCCCCAGCTCACATCTCAGCCCCCCTGAGCCACGCTCCTCAACCTCTGATTCACCTCCCAGCCTCTGGTTCACCTCCTCCCAGCCTCAATTCTCCTCCAGCCCCTGATTCACCTCCCAGCCTCCTGATTCACCTCCTAGCACCTGACTCACATCCCAGCCCCAGCTCATCTCAGCCTCTGATTCACCTCCCAGCCTCTGATTCACCTCACAGCCCCTGACTCACATCCTATCACATCTTAGCCCATGACTCACATCCCAGCCCCTGACTTACATCTCAGCCTCTGACTCACTTCCCAGCTCCTGATTCACGCATCCCAACCCCTAGCTCTGCCCCAGTTCTGACTCATCAGCAGCCCATGACTCGTGTCTCAGCCCATGACTTCCTCTAACACCACTCGACTCGTTTTCTCAGCTCTTGACTCAACAGGTCATTTCCAGCCTTTGACTCAACGCCTAACCAATGACTCACCTCCCAGCCGTTAATTCGTATTCCTATGCCATCTTGACTCACCTAAAGGTCATCCTTCCTTCCTTAATTCAACCCTTAGTCTTTTGAGTCACCCTCCTAGCCTTTTGATTCATCCCTCAGTCCTGCAACTCATTCCTCAGCCCTGTGACTCACCCCTCAACGCTGTGACTCATTCCTCAGTCCTGTGACTCACCCCTCAACGCTGTGACTCATTCGTCAGCCCTTTGACACCCTCAGCCCTTTGACTCACCTCTCAGCCCTTTGACTGCCCTCAGCCTGTAGCTCACCCCTCAGCCCTGTGACTCACCCATCAGCCTTGACTCACCCCTTGTCAGCCCTGTGACTCACCCCTCAGCCCTGTAATTCATTCTTCAGTCCTGTGAATCACCCCTCAGCCCTGTGACTCACCCATCATCCCCGTGATTCACCCCTCAACCATATAACTCATTCCTCAGCCGTGTGACTCTTCCCTCAACCATACTACTCATTCCACTCCAGCCCTGTGACTCACCCCTCAGCCCTGTGACTCACCTTTCAGCCCTGTGACTCACCCCTCAGCCCTGTGACTCACCTTCCCATGTCTGTCTCACGGGGTAGTTGGTTGGAGAGGCTATTATGTGCCTCCATGTACCGCTTCCAGAGCCCTTCCCGGCCTTCCCTCCGCGGGCGCCTCCAACCTGGAGTCCTGAAGGGGAAATCAAGTCCGTGTTAATTGTTGCTGCTAGAGCCTAGATGATTAGTGAGTCTTTCTGGTAAATAGTCAATGTTCTTTGTTGCCAGAAGTGATTTGCTTTGATCGCCAGGTCAGTGAGTCTTCTGGTGATGGGTAGAGGGGAGAATGAGTCTTTGGTGGATGAGAGGTAAATCTTTGAATAGTGAGGTGAGTCTTTCAGTGGAATTAATGGTAAGGATAGAGTTGGAGTTAGGATGATTTAGTGGAGTCTTTGGGGGTGAAGGCGATAAGTTTTTAACCAGGTGATCCCAGTAAACACTATTAGTGAGTCATTTATCGTCAGTCAATTGAGTCTGTGGTGGTAATCATTGCATCTCTAGTGGTCGTAAATTTCTGGTGTTAATTTCTTAATAATGTCAGTAAATTTCTGGTAATTGTCAGTGAATTTCTGGTGGTGTCAGTGAATTTCTGGTGGTGTCAGTGAATCTCTGGTGGTGTCCCGTAAATTTCTGGCGGTATCAGTGAATTTCTGGTGGTGTCAATAAATTTCTGGTGGTGTCACGTTTTCTCGTAATAAGTCAGAAGGATGCTAAAGTGACTGTCAGATATTTTTGTTTTGTCTCCGTCAGCTCGTGCTAAAAACCCAAGAGTCAGAATTCACAGTCCTGCCTGATCATCTGACAGGTTTAGCCGTGACATACTTCAAGGAGTCATATCGGAGGATTCAAGTGGCACCACACTGAACTAAACCCATTGGCACACTATCAACGTTCTTCTATGTAAACATAGCACACACGCACGGGTTTCAAAACAGTATTGTAACTTTGAACCTCTGTAACGCCATCAAATATTGAAAGTAAACAAAATTAAGTTTACATTGTTTATAATTCAACATAACATTATATTGAGAAAATAACCCTTTGACACATGACATATAGTATTAGAACACATATATTAGAAAGAGGATTATTCAAGGAGTTACAGACTTATTATTTTTAAATGAGGGTTTAATGTAAACAACCAAATGACATAAACAAAAAGTAAGGAAATGATAAACGAGAATAAAAAATAAGACTATTTTTTTAATTGTTTTATATGAATTAAACAGGAAAATTCAGATCTCCATAAACAAATTTATTACAACTGTAATATCCAAAGTGAAATTAACTGATCGAATAATGAGAAATGACTGGAAACTATTTAAAAAATATACATATATATAATTAGGAGTAACTCAAAAATAATAACATATAAACACAAATATAGAAAATAACAAGAAAAACACATATAAAGTAATACAGTATTTTCTGTCGAGTTTTGAGTGAATAAAAAAAAATTATTATATATTTACAATGAAAATTACAAGAGGGAAACAGGAGCAATAAATCCTCTCGAAAATATTACCTTGATAATATAAGGGTATATAAGTAGGTATTACTTATTTACTTAAGAACACTGATAACTTTAGTATTGTCAGCAAGTGGTTGTAAAAGAGGTAGTGTAGAGGTTCACTTTTAAGGGAAGGTAGATTTAAAGTGGGTAGAATTTAGATTTGTTAAAGGATGTATATAATAAAAATTGTGGTAAGAATTTTAGGGTATATATTTTTTTTTATCTTAAAGTAGAATTTTAAAGTTATATATTTTCAGTGCAGAAATTTTCATAGTTTTTCTTAACATTTTCAGTAGAGAGAATTTAAAAAAATGCATAGAAATTATTTAAAGTTACGATTAGAATATTAGGATAATTATTTTCAGTAGAGAGAACCTTAAAGTGATACTAAGAGTTTTAAGTAATTTCAGGTAAGAAAAAGTAAAAGCTGATATTTGTGATTTAAGGGTAATTTGTTTTTCTCGAGAAGTAGACCAACATTGGTGGAGGTTTTTAGTATATGACTTTTAAGTAGATGGAGTTACATAGATACATACGGAACCAGACGAGTTTTTCCACTGCCGGTACAAAAAATAAAAATAAATTAATAGATAAATAAATACTCAAAGATATTTATCGATATTTTCAAAAGTTGTGGTAGTTTGCTAATAAAGACTTTTTAGGAGTGTAAAGAGACTCCAAACTTAAGGAAAGTAACCGGGGAAACATTCATTCAAACTTAAAGTAATTTGGGTATAAATCGTTTTAAAAGGTATAATAGATTTTAATTGACACGTTTGTGGTTATTAAAAGGAATTAAAACTTAAAGAAAAAAACACTTAAATATTCTTCTTAATTTCGAATAAATTTAAAAGTTATGATAATTTTAATTTTAGTAGACACCTAAAAGCTTTAGTATTTTTTTCTAATTTTACATTACATTTAGTTTAAAAGGTAGTGATAACTTTTAATCTAGCTATAATTTCTAAAAATTTTGGCAGTCTTAAATAGGGATATAAATTGAAAAATTGTGATAACATTTACTTCAGACATAAGCTAAATAGTGATAGTTTTCACCAAAGTAACAATAAAAAAGTTTTTTTATACTATTAACCAACTTTAAAAACACATAGAAGAAAATCATCTAAACAGTCATCCAATTTGTAATAGTTTCTGGTGACTTGGTGAACCACATGCTGACAGAGTGATCCAAGTCACTACTGTACCTTAATAACTACGTCAGTTAAAGGTCTACTCACAGTTACGTACCAATTTGTGTATTTTACTGCTACTCCAAACTCCCTGCATCTGGATTCGAACCCGGTACTAGCAAAGACCCATTGGTTAAATGGGTCCTAGTCTTAATAGTCTCCCCATCGATAATTAACCCATTCCATATAAGCCCCCAGTCCAGACAGTAAGGTTAGATGAGGGTGATGACTCTGATGAGTGTGGGGACTATGGCATAGGGTCTGGGGTCTCTCAATACCTGGTAAGACTTCGAGACACAATGAGACAGTGAGATGGGGGACTACACTCGACCACCGTAAAGTCAGGTAGGTATCCAATGACATCTCGGTTGACTGGGGGTGTTCCAAGAGCCAACCAGTGAGCCAGAGAACATAGGCAAGAGCTGTAGACACTCAGCCACCGCACCCTGCTATTAACTCTGTACCCAATTCCTCTTTTTATAAACATTAGTTCTAAATAAAACTTTTGGATCTGAATGTATTACTGTTTATTTTTTTATAAGTTTCCTGAATAATATTTTTCTTATTTATCTTGGTATCTCTGATCTTCAACCAACAAAAAATAATTCACAAATATTCTGTTTATTCATTTCTTAAGGTCACAACTTATAAATTTGGCATTTACTTCTCATAATGTTACTTTGTTTGCGTTATGGTACCTAAACTATTAATATTTCTGACTCCGAGAGGTATTTTCGTCTCTAGAAACCACGTGTAGGGGTTAAGCTTGTTGTTTTTGCAGAATTTTCAATTAGCTTCGAATCTCAATAAAGGTGACCTGTACCCCTTAACACACTGATTAACAAGGAGCCAAATATAACACGGCAGGAACCACATCAACTCCCCGATAGAAAACAGCTCCAAGGAAATGTTTTCTTACTCGCAATATAAGATAAAAATAAAAAGAAAAAATTCTTCATATATTTCAATCATAATATTAAGTGAACAAATTGTTATTATAAATATGACTTTTACCGAAAAAACACATACGTATATACACACAGGCATAACATATATAATACTTGTTTATAATTACTCGATGAACATCCTATGAACAAAAATCATATTATTATTCAGTTATTTTTTTTATTTATAGAATTATAGAAGCATTCAAACTGGTATTGGTAAAATTGTAGTTTTTTATTATTATTTTCAGTTCAGTTATTAATTATCCACCTTATAATTTTGTTATCTTTTGTTTTAGTTACGGATGAATGAGCTTGTTCATATTGTCTGCTTAATTATATTTCACTAAAACATTTTTGTGGCCAATATTTTTATATTTACAATGTACAGTACAGTTGTGTCAGAGTTCCTGTACCCCCTGTGGTGACGTTTGAGTACATTTGGCAGAGACTTATTACTGGAGTAAACTTATGAATGAATCCGTCGTAGTCTGGTAACAACGGAACCATTATGCTTGCCGTTACCGGATGTTTCGGCCCAAAATCTCGATCTCTGGGATTATCCTCCTACGTGTCGAAGATAAATTAGTAATAGAAAGACTACCATGAAAATTAAAAAAATAAGATGCCAAACAATGCCTGACTTAACCTCCACATATCATGATTCCTTAGTGTTTGTTTCAACATTTCTAACCTTTGTGTGATTTACCAAGGACATGTGTAGCGTCGACAATGTTCCTGTGTGAAGAAGGTTCCTGGTGTATGATTTTTAAAGCCTTATCACTCATATTAAGTTTATATTATATTACTATATCTATTCATCATTATTGCCAAGCGATATTACGTCTAGAAATCTTTTCCACCAATCAGCTACAGTGTTACAAGACTACTAAGGAGTCATAAGTTTACTCTAGTAATGAGATGCTGCCACATGTGCACAAACGTCACCACAAAGGGTAAAGGAACGCTGTGAGCAACTGTACAATGTTAAAATATATCACAAATATATGAAACTAATGTGTCCAGTTACTTTTCATTTTTTCATAGTGTTAAATATGTTAAAATATATACGAAACCAATACATAATACAGTAGTGTGTTCGTTATCTTAAATTAACATTGTATAACCCTTGGAAACATTAAAATCTAAAATTAATATTTACAGATAATATATCTTTATTGTTTTAAAGGAGTATCTAAAACTAACTAATAATAATGTAGTTTCTCAAAGTAACATTTTAGTGAAACATGCTGTAATGTTAAAACTATACCTGAAACTAACATTATAACATTTCCTATTTCAACATATCAATGTATAGGGCTAAAACATTACAAAATATATGTCTGAAACATAAGCAAAATTCTGTAACGTTTCATAATTATCAAGTAAAATATTAAAATTTAAAAAATATATTAGAAACTAAGGTATA